TAGCTATCTTTCATATCGAACACCACATCCGTAGGGCGGGTGAGTGGTTGTACCCGCATACGGTTCATGATAACATCATACACCAAATCCGACCCAGTACGTGGGTTTTTGAAATTTCGTACAGCGGCGCTACAAGAATGCACGCTATTGAACCTTTTCAAGCGCAATACCCCGTTCAACGTAGAGACCCTTGCATGAACCAACCACGCACACCAGATGATGTTGCAAACTTACATACAATGGTTATACGCACTGAATCATTTTTAATGTATTTAAATTGAAACCCGCATTTGATTGCATACTTGCAGAGTACTGTCTGGAATTCATGTGCACTGCTCCCAAAAGATTGACCGACATGTGTAATACTGAATGCCCACCCAGCAGACAAAAATATCTTCGATTTATGAGGACAATATGATGATAACAAATTTGTCCAGTATTCAATATCGCACATCGACCCATCTATGGTGTCATACACTCCATCCGTAGGGGACCCTGCAACGCCACATTCAACGCCCAACCTATGACTCTGCATTTGAATTGACGCGTCCATATGGTGAAGACCAAATGACTTTGCAAGAGACAACATGTTTTGAACATCGTCATCACAATCAACCTTAAACTTACTTTATCCACAAATAGTGAAAAAGAAATACACGAATCTAGGGTCCAAGCTATCAAACTTGTCATAGACACCATGGACCAACTGTGCAAATGTCAAGGTTTGATGAAGACGAAACACTACATTTGTCAGCTCGAAAGTACACAACAACAGCACTGCGAACTCCATACCTACAGATAGGAAAGAAAAAAAGAAAAAAAAAAAGAACAAACAAAACAACATTACATGTGTATGATAATGGATAAAGAACAACTATGCAGATGGAAATGAACATTGGCAACTTCTGAATGTCAACTAAACACTGCACGGTCACAACATTACCATGTCGTGTAAAACATTACCATTGTCAAAAAAATGCAATTGCTCAATGGGGTATAGTTGACATCATTTACACATGGGTTGGGGGGATGATGGTGTTTGGTGTATAGCGTTAAACATTGCACGGTTATACCATCCCCATGTCGCACTATTGCATACGCATGGAATTTATCAAAATGACAACCGAAATCGCCCAAGACAACATCATACCAATACCATACCCATGTTGGCATATCTTCAAAATCCATTGTTTTATGTTTGAAATTGAAAAACGATCCCAACTAAACAAATAAAACGAAACATGAACATCATGGAAAGACGATGTTAGAAACACCTAACTGTTGGAAAATCGTATATACGTTCCAACCATAACATGGAACAATAAATAACAAATCAAACTAAAAGCACATCCACTATAAACATCATACACCCAATGATACAACAAACACCTCAAATCAAAATCCGAAAATCCATCACAAAGAAAAACAGAACAATGGAATAACACCAACTTGAGAGACAGCTGCACAGCAAGTCAAACCAATAAACACCAACAAATCTGTTTGAAATCACAAATACACACCAAAACCACATTAGGAACAAAACATCAACTAAGGAAACATCAACACTCCCAAACAAAGTCATGTAATTCCCTCTCCCCAGAAAATAGTAATGTTAAACCATGCCTTATCCACACAACAACAACAAAAATTTGTTTGAAATCAAAACAAAGGGCAAACAAGTAAACTACAGCTCAATAATACAAACAAAATAGCATACCAAAAATATAAAGGGACTAAATGGTTCAACAAAAAACACCCAGGACTAAATGGAGCAACATTTCCCTAAATGGGATTTATGAGTAATTTTCCCTTAGTTTTAAGGACACTAATCTATTTTTTGAAAAAAAAACTATCCTTAATCAAGCTTTATTATTCCACCACCTTCAACCAAATCTGCCACAGCTACTTTAAGATCTAGATGACAGTACTAGTCAATTTAGAAACAACAGTAGCAAATTTGAAAGAGACAACAATGAGTTTGTAGTTGTGAATGACACTTTAGTTCAAATATGGAATGTGACTGTGAATAGTGGCAAATTGTTTTAGATTTGGACTGTGGTTATAAACGGCAACAGTAGCAGTGGTGGCAATGAAAAGATGATTGAAGCGGTATAGAGAGAGATACCCATGGAGGCGTAATATAAAATTTATTATAGTATTTTTAGAGTTTAAGGGTAGTTCTAACCATTTATTTCAAAACGTTTTCATTATCTTATTAAAATTTGAAATTCAGAGACTTTAACTAATATGTAGTCTTTTAATATTTTTAACTCTTATAGAAATATGTAGAGGAATTTATCTTTACTTTTTTCCTTTATATAAGGGTGTTTTGGAAAGAAGGAAATAAGTAGTTTTTTTTGTTTATTTTATGGATTTTTGGCTGTTTTACAAATGCATTTGGGAAGTGCTAAATAAGCATTTTTTTTTTGCTTTTTTGAAAATTATTATTATAATATGGTATCACATGCATTTGTTAAAATTCTAAAATTCACATTTTACCCTTGTGCATATTTTTGAAATTACCATTTTTCCTTCCACTAACATTTTTCAAATGGAGGGCATTTCGGTAATGTCACAAGTTGGCTTATATCATTATTCTGGGAGCCTCTATTTACATCCCTAAAAGTAGGTTGGGCACCTCATTACTTTGAGCACCCCGATAATGAATTTAAAATTTTATTTATTTGTTTAGACACCCAAATAATACCTATCCTAACCCTAAAAATCCTAAACCCTATTCAAATATACTTTGTGCACCCCATTACCAATAAATAGAGGAACAAAAATCTCATTTGGGGTCTCTGGAATTCCAAGCGACGAATAGAGATTTTGAGTTCATCCGAGACGAAAAAGGATTTTGCTCCTCTGCACAATCCTTCCATTTTGAGTTCTAGTTGTTTAATATGGATATTCAGTGCTGAATAAAATATATTTCTCCATATACTTAATTCCAAACATGTGAAGCTTGTTTAGATACTTGGTGCCGAACACAAGAAAGTTGGTTCCAATTGTTTCATATGGATACTCAATACCGAACAAAATATATTTGTCCGGATATTTAATTCCAAACATGCGAATTTTGTTCAAATACTCACTGCTAGAGGTGGGCATCGGTTCGCTGGCCCACCTAGCCCAGCCCAGCCCTATTTTTTAAGGCTTGGTAATATAATTTTAGCCCATAGACGGAGCTAGGTTGATATTTTCAGCCCGATTAATAAATGGGCTAGATTTGGGAATTGTACTTCTGGCAAAGCTCGGCCCGCTACATATTTAATTTAATAAATTAATTAAATTTATATATTATATTAAAAATATAAACCCTTTTAATTGTATATTTTTCTTAATTTGTTTTTTTTATTTCATGTTAATAATTTATTTGTTGATAATGTAGGAACTTAGTATCATCGGAAACAATGGTTAATGGTGATTCTAACTCTTTAGAAGATGATAATGAAATAGAAGAACAAGTTTGAAATTTAAACAATGGAATTTTTTTTATTAGTTTGATGTATTACTAACAGTTTGGCTTTTAAAACTCTGAACTTTATAGAATTATAGGTGTGTTTGGTTTAAAAAATTTTATGATGTTTTAATTAATATGGTATTGAATATTTAACTATTAATTGCTCGATAGGTCTTTGTTTATTTATGAAAAAATAATAGGTATTATAATGTTTAGTTTTTTTTTTAATAGCTTATATATATAGCCCGATTGACGGGCTTGAGAATTATGATTTATATTACAACTAGGCTTGAGAGGATTATATAGGCTAGATGTTTGGGCTGGATGGGCTTGGATAGATATAAAGTCCCTTATTAAGTAGTGTTAGCCTGGCTCGAATTCGGCGAATGATCACCCTTACTTAGTGTCGAATTAATTCGGAAAACTAACTTACAAAAAATGATGAACAACAATTTAAAACTTACTTTCTTCTTAGAAAATTGTTTGGAAACATTTTTTTTATTGTCCATTATTGATTTTAATATGAAATAGAATGCAAGAATGATGAATTGAAGCAAATAGGGTTAGTTCAAAAAAAAAAAAAAAAAAACAAATAGTGTTGGGTTAGGATTAGGTATGAAAATGCAAAGTGGTGAAAGTAGAAAGAGTAGAGAGAAAATAAATATTAAATGGCTAAACTACTTTTATTTACATATTTTTTTAAAGTCAAGTATTTTTTTATCATTTTAAATAGAGACTTGATAGTAATAAAAAAATATCATTAAATTAGAATGCCCAACCTACTTTTTGAAAGTGCAAATAGAAGCTCCCCATCTTCCCAAGTGACTTTTTGCTCAGCTTATATCTATCTTCCTAAAATATCCCTTAATATTATACTAATACAATTTTAAAATTAGACTTAAAATTGACCTCTAAAAATCCGACACAAACCCAAACCCAAACCCAAACCTTGATGCACCACTATGAAAGGATATACGAATCTTTTGTTTTCATTGTTCAATTATTTATAAGAGCTTGTTTGGGTGCACTATATAAGCATATTTTTTAGAATTATATTAGGAATTTCAAATGAATTATTAAATATTTTATCAAATTTCTCACATGGGTATAGGACCTATACAAATCACATGTGTATGAGCCCTACACTCATGTGAGAGGTTGGTAGAATATTTAGTAATTTATTTGGGGTTTATAACATTTTTCCATTTTTTTTCTTTTTATATTTTTTAAATTACATCATTTTTTTTATTTTTTTTTACATATTTTTCTATAAAAAATCAACAAATACGCTTAGGGGTCGTTTGACATTGGCTAATATAATTAACTTTTTTGTGTTGGGACTTTTTTAAACTTGTTTGTTTATTGTTTTAAATTTTTTTTGAATTTTATGAAAGAAAAAGTGTAATAATTATAAATAAAAATAATATTTTATCTTATTAATTTATATAATCTATTTTATTTTTTTTAATACTTTTTTAACTCCAATAAAAAAATCAAACCAGACTTATTTAAATGATTCCAAACAAACTCTAAATAAATAAACAAGAAGCAAAGTGAACATTATTTTCTGAAGAGATAAATCGAAAAAGACAAGAAAAAGAAATACTAAAAAAGAAAAGGAAAAAATGAGCAGTGGGAGTCGAGTGTTCTGTAAAGGAAAATGTTTGAAAGTCACAATTTTTGTGGCCATAATGGCTTAAAATTGTTAAAATGACATCGTTTTGATATGTTTTACACCAAAAATAACATCATTTTGACAGTTTTGAGCCATTGTGACCACAAAAATTGTGACCGTCTAGCATTGTTCTGTAAATCTTTCTTGGTACCTTCACTCGGTTCGACTGAACTCATTCGATTCAAGTTTTTCAGAGCTCGAACTTCCTCATCCAACCCTTCTAGGGTTTTTCGAATGGCCACCGAGCCTCCTTCTTCATCCTCATCATCACCACCACACTCCGCTTCAGCTTCCTCTAATGGCGATTCATCCTCAGTCCCCGCTTCTTCTGCCATCGATTTTCTCTCTCTCTGTCACCGTCTCAAGGTATTTTTGCGTAGATATGTATATATGTATGATTCATTTGAGTGTTGATTGTTTTGGACTCGAATATCATTTCCTAAATTTGTGATTTTGTTTTTTGGGTTTGGGGGTTTTTTGGGGTTTGATCAGACGACGAAGAGAACGGGATGGGTGCGAAGGGATGTTGAGAATCCAGAGTCCATAGCCGATCATATGTATCGAATGGGGTTGATGGCTCTCATTGCTTCTGACATTCCTGGAGTCGATCGAGACAAGTTAGGGTTTCTGTTACTTTTAGTTTTTTTTGTGTTCCATCTGGGTTATTTGTTATGTTGCATTTTCTAAAGATTTAACATATTTTGTTTTTGTTTTTGTTTTTGTTTTTTTGTATTTTTTTTGTTTTTTCCAAATGTCAGGTGTATAAAAATGGCAATTGTCCATGATATTGCAGAAGGTAATAGCTTTGCATTTAAATTTTTATTATTTAAAAGGTTTCTTATATGTATCCTTTGGCTGATAAAGTATGCTTGATAAAAGAAAAAGGGTTAATTACACTTTTATCTCCTTAACTATCACCATTTTTTTTAGTTTGTCAGTAAACTATGGTGATTTGAGCTCTTGTAGTCCAATTGAAGATGATTGTAAAAATTAGTAATGGTAAAATTCTAACCTCATGAGAAAAAAGTCATTTCTACATTTTAAAAAATCTAAACCAAACCAAACATCCATCTTCTTACTTACATTATATTGGACAATCTACTCCCTGCAACCAAACAACCATCTTCTTCCCCACCCCCTCCCCCCACTGTTTTTCTCTCCTGCGCTCCTCCCTCACCTGATAACCTCCCCTACCACCGCTATTGAACCCCTGCCCGTAATCCATCATCAAATAGGAAGATATGTATGGCTTGTGCTTATGAGTGGAAAATTTCCCTCATTTAACCCTAATATGAGAAGAAGAATCAAGGAACAATTAACTTCAGTATCAATCCTACCTCCTGCGCTGTCTCTATCACCTAGTAATTTAACCGGCTGTCAAAGTAAAAAAATGTTGAAAGTGCAGAGAAGTTCACTTGTTGAATTCTTCTTTTATGCTTAGAATTTTCTTTCTTAGAAGTGGAAAATTTTCAATTTGCTACTGATCAGTTGCCAATTATGAAATATATGGTACTTACCTGTTATGGGTACATGTATCGGTATGAATACGATGCATATCGGGAACACGAAATATGTATTCGGTACGTGAAACACTTTTGATACGACATGGGTACTTGTCGGGTATGACATGTTTATGGGTTGGGTATGAGATGGCTACGTTTTGGGTACTATTGTGTGCATGTTAGGGCATAAATGTCAAATTTTAAAAATATAGAAGCATTGGAACAATTATATTGAATCTATTTTTATAAACTTAAAAAATATAGGGTATTTTTGCAACGATAACGAATATAAAAGTACTTGGTGTGTTTCTGTTTTTTTTTTTTTACCTTTACAAAAATATTTTTAATTACTTTTTGAATTTTCTTTTTTAATTGTTATATATCATGTACTATTACAAACTATAAATAAATATTTTTTACGGATGTACCCGTATCCTACTTTTTAAAGTTATGCCATATTAGTGCCGTACCCACATCCGTACCTGCCCCATGCATCTTAGGTTGCTAACATTTCTGATGTTGAGCTTTTCGGGTGGCCATGTCTCCTGTATAAATTATCCTTTCAATAGTGGAGATTGTCATTTCAATCCAATTCATTGAGCAGATTTATAAGGGATTTCAAACAGATAATTTGTTAACAAGCTGAACGCATTTTATTCAGTTACTAATAAATCATATTTGGTATTAGCTCTACAATTTAGATTTTGAGTGCGTAGAGTATATGTAAGTAATAAATAGAACTCGAGTATATGTAAGTAATAAATAGAACTCGTAATACTAGTAAGCAGTATAAAAAGTGAGTATTGTAATTTTTATTATGCGTTATCTATAATAGTTTTTAGTATTTGATCTCTATCATTCTTGTTCATTAATAGGAGAGGACTCATTCTCTTTACAGTGTACTTACTTGTAGTGTTGTTCTCTATATATAATGTTGTTATTAGAACTTGTAACTTCTTAATTTGCATTACCTCCTAGTCTGGTTGTATATGCTTCTATACTTAGTACCTTCTCTCTTTATACCTTTTACTCCTTGTTCTCTGTATTTCTACTACTTACTTGCGCAGTTTTTTTCTTCCTTCAGAAGTTTGATTGGTTTTTGTACCTTCTTAATTGTTTGAATAGCCATTGTTGGGGACATCACTCCTTCTGATGGGGTTCCAAAACATGAAAAGAGTCGGCGCGAGCAGGAGGCGCTAGACCACATGTGCAAATTACTTGGTGGAGGGCAGAGAGGTACTTCTCTGTGTGTGGAAATTTTCATGTTTATTGTTTAGTTTCTAGGTTGCCATTGTGTGTGCACACATGCACTCATTGAATTTGTATACTTTCCAAATTGAAATTGTTTCATCATTCTCCAATTCTGGGTTGCTAAAACCGAGCTGCTTATTGCAGCCCAGGAAATTGGTCAGTTGTGGATGGAGTATGAAGAAAATTTGTCCCTAGAAGCTAAGGTTGTGAAGGATTTCGACAAGGTATGTATTATGTCTAGACATATCTAAGCAGTACATTTTATCCTGGCCATGCTAATGCTGGTAATGCTTTGTCCTTTTCAGGTGGAAATGATACTTCAAGCCTTGGAATATGAAACTGGTAGGGCTTCAATGTTTGGATAGTTCTGTCTCATATCATATGTGTGAAGCCTAGAACGTGTTTCTAAGATTTGCTTCCCAAAATTATCTCCACATTGAATTTGAGAGCTTTACCATGCTAGATGTAGAATAACAATCAAATACACATAGTCCCTTGAAAAGATTTTTTTTAAAAAATATTTAATTATTTCTCTTTCCTTCCCTCACTCATTCGGTTGACAACTCTATTTGTTCTTAATATTTGTTTTTCATTTTTCTCTTTAGTCTTTCCCTCTTTTATTTACAAGAGGGCAATGGCACACTCTCTTACTACTAGAAAAAGTTATGAGCTTTTGTGGTGTTACTTATGAACCGTTGTGTTTATGTTATGAAAGGGCACATCATTAGAAAAGTTGAAGTTACGAATCCTTACAATATGCATTTTTTGGAGTGTGTATCATAGTTTTTTCCAGTGTGTACCATAATTTTCAACATCAAATTGAAATTTTTTCACAAAAAAACGTTACTAATTATAAGTTTTAGCGATAGTTTAAAAAAAATCACAAAAAAGTCACTAATTTAACTTTTAGTTATAATTTAGAAAATTCATTACGAACTAATTGTCAGTTTTTAGCAACATATATAAAAAATTGTAACAAAAAATTATTTTTAGTGACGATTTTAGGAGGACTACTTTCAATTGGACTTAAGTCTCGTTTGGAAATAGACTATTTTAGTAATTTTTTGATTTTTTGGCTACACTTAAAAACTATTTTCCTATTTCAATCATGTATGAGACAACTTCAAAAATCTGTGTACCTAGTGCAATTTGTAATCCATTACCATTCATTACTAGGTGAATTATGTGATATTACTTTTGATTTGTATTTGTAGTGGTGAATATTGAAGAGTTTATCTTTAATAATAATTTACTTTAATAATTCTGAGTTGTTTAAACCTGACCCGACCCGACTGCTTGACTTGCCAATACCTTGCTTTTGGTCCCCCTAATAACTGAACCTGGTGGACCCCTGCATAGGTGCACATTTGACCATATACACATGCATGCGGACATAGTTTCACGTGGCCATATAGCCATGTAGGCACATATAAGCATATATAGGCAGTTATAAATGTGATATATGTGCTTGTATAAGCTTATATAGGAGATATAGTTGTATACATTCATCCATACCTATGCATAATGTACAAACATACATGTTTATATGTATGCTTGTTTGTATCTGTACACTTTAGACTGCTTAAACTATGACCAATATCACTTCAAAAAATTAATTGTTAGTTATTATAAAATTTATTGAAAAATAAAAATAGATGATGGAAAAATGTATTTTCCCCCATCAAAGAGATCCTTCAAGAAGAACAAATAGGCTATTGCTTTTTAGGAAATTAGACTAAGGCTCCTTATAATAGTTCCATGCGACATGCAGTCCTATTAGGCTTCGTTTGGTCAGACTTTCGAACTATGATTTGAGAAAATGAGTTGTATTTTGAGTTTGTGTATTTTGAAATTATGATTTGAGTGTAGAAAATTTGTTTGGTTATGATTTTTGAATAGAGTGTTGAATTGAGTGTGAAATTGAGTTTTGAAAGTTTGATTTGACATGTGAAGTAAAAAAATTTGTTTGGTTATGATTTTTGAATAGAGTGTTGAATTGAGTGTGAAATTGAGTTTTGAAAGTTTGATTTGACATGTGAAGTAAAAAAATTTGTTTGGTTATGAGTTTTGGAAAGAGTTTTCAAAACTTAATTCAAATTGTTATGACTCACAACAAAACATACTACTTTCACATTATTGAAAATTCTGATCAACACTCGTAATCAAACTCTTTTTAAAATTCAATTAAATTTTTTTATTATGAACAGAAAATAACATTAATCAATTTTTTAATTGAAAATACTACAAAGGAAATAATTTTTTTCCAAAATAAATATTCAAAAAATTTAAATCATAAATATTTAAGTAATTTAAATAATGTAAAAAATTTAATAAGTAAAAAATTAAAATAAATATTCAAAAAATTTAAATCGTAAAAATTTAAATATTCAAAAAATTTAAATAATTTAAAATTCTAATATTTTAAATTTAAAAACAACTCTACACTCAAATCGTAACCAAACACATAAAACAAACCTCAATTAAGAAATTATTTTTAAAACTCATAACCAAACATATAACTCGAAATTTCATACTACTTTCACAACTCTATACTCAAATCGTAACCAAATACATAACAACAAAAATTAAAATATTTAAAAATATTTTTATAAAATAGAGTTTGAATTTATTTTTATAAAATATTTAAAAATTTAAAAATTTAAAATCGTAATATTTAAAAATATTCAAAAAATTAAAAAATTAAAAAAATCGTAGCATATTTAAATTTTAAAATATTTAAAATCTTAACAAAATTAAAATAATTTTAAAATATTTAAATATTTAAAATGTTTAAATATTTAAAATATTTAAAAAATTAAAATATTGATTTGAATTGAGTTTTGAAAAGAGTTGTGAATTATGTGTTTGGTTATGAGTTTTGAAAAGTAATGATTATGCTTTGAATTGAGTTTTGAGAAATGGGTGTATAATTATGATTTGAAAAGTCAAAACAAACACTACACTCAAATCAATGGGTGGAACTATAATTTGAGATGCTTGCCAAACGGAGCCTTAGTTTTTTGACGCACAAGGTCCCTAAAAATAGTGTGTTTTTGGGATGTAGGGTCCACGTTTTTGTTGGCAATCATTTTTTGAGATAAATTGGCCCTTGCATAGTAAAGATGCCAAAAATTTATGCAACATTCCGTAGTTGTATTATCCATAACCATAAAATTCGAATTATTATTTTATTATTATTATTTTTAAAATATTTTAGTTATGGTTTGAATGCTTGCAATAGTTGTTTCCTTTTTGTCAGTTGTAACCTTAGTAGTTGAATTGGAAGCCTTTAAGTGGCATTTGTGTTAAGTTGTTTTAATCTTGGACATGAATGTAACAAATGGTTTCTTAAACGGCTCATTCCTTTTCTACTATCCCTAACAAAATCAACCCCATGGGGTTGGCCTGGTGGCAATTCCTTGGGTCTTGGGGGTGTACTCCTCCAAGGATCGAGGATCGAAAGCTCTTAGGTGCTAACAATTTCCTGCGGCCATCTTATTGGAGGAAAACTTTTGAATTAACTGTCGTGCATTTGGGGGAAACACTTTGCCAAGGACTTGTGCACTCCTGGGAATTAGTTAGGTTTTGATCAGGACACCCCATTGCCAATCAAAAAAAAAAAAAAAAACTATCACCTAACAAAATCTTTCTTGCAATGCTTACATCTAGCTGTGTCCATTCAATCATTTAAAATTTTCAAAGTCATTACATACTTTGATGTTAATTTTCGGCTCCTCTTTGTAGCTTCTTGAGATGCATCCTCACCCAACTGGGCCACATCATCCTTGCCACAATTAAGTTCACTACAATCCTTAAAAACGTTTTTCAGCTCATGAAATCAAATATGCAATGCCCAAGAAGTCAAACACAAAGTCCTTGCACGAGTTTACATTCAGTAAACATTTGGATTTGGGTTGCTATGATTGGATCTGTTAATTTCGGATTCTGATAGATGACTAATTGATTGGATTTTTTTGGATCCAACCTGTAGAATAAAGGATAAAGTGTGGAATAAGGTTTGGAGGATTATTTCTATCCTTTGGATGTCAGGAGGAAGATAATTTTGAGGTTGATATTATTTATTCTAGGGGGTGATAAACCCCCTACTTTGGCCAACCTATCATGGGACTGTGAGGGGGACAAGGGGGAGAAAATGAGGGACATGTGGGTCACTTACTTAACCACCTCCTAATCCCCCCTTATCTTGGCAAACAAAGGCAGCCTCTAAGGATTTCATAATTATCTTGATGGTTATTTTGGGTTTTAGTGTCTTGGCTACATGTTGTACCTATGTATACTTCATACTTGGGTTGCACCCTCTCTTTGGCATTCGTTCAATAAATTTGCTTTTCAATTTAAAATGTTTTTGATATTTTAACTCGTGTTTGTTTATGGCTTTGTTGTTTTAAATAAAATTCTATGTTAACTTGTGGGCTTACAGTTAACTAGGCCAAATTTATGATCTATTAAATATATTGGTTTCCGAGGGATCAAAAAGTTATTTGACATTTTGAACATTCCTATATGATTATCAGTAAACGTCTTGGTATCAATGATTAAGAATGGCATAAAGACTAATATGGCCGAATTTTCATAAGAAACAAAGTTAACAAGTGGCCTAAACTTGTGTAAAAAAGTACGAACGGCTACCCTTCGGGAGAGAAATAAAGTTAATGTCTAAATGTTGATTTCTACGTCATGCACTTGCATTTACAAAACTAATTATAGCATAATAGAAAATTTATGGGTGCATCGGTGATGGGACAAAGAGTACTTAAATTTGAAACTTCTTGTTGACTTCATTTCAGCTGTGAAGTGTGGTTAAGAATGTAGTTGTCCCTCTCTGACCCTTGCATAGGCATTGTATGAGTGTGAATTAATCATAGATGGCTGTCTCTAATAATCAATTCAAATTTTAGAGGTTATGTTCACATATAACGTGAATCTGTTTTTCTTAATATGCACTAATGAGGAAGCAATAACCTGAAATGGTCCAACAATCAAAAGTGCATAAGCATACTCTCTTTTTTGGAATAAGTAAAAATGGTCCCCATTTTTGAGTCCAAACTAGTTTGAGATCTGCACTAACCAAGTGTTAAATATTCAAGGAAGATATCCGACAGACATACTAAAATTTTTTTTAGAAGACTGAAAATTCTCCTATAGAGGTCTTCTTGTGAGTTGTGAGATTTGATGTCACTGATAGTTTTAGCTGGCCTGCTTCATTTGTATGTCACATTGGTTTTTTTAAAGGGAAAGTAAATTCAAGAATCAAAAGGAGTCAATTGAAATATTAATGCCAGAAGCTTGTGGAGCATTTATTTTATGACATTATAGTTTTATTTGGAAGTTAGTACACAAGTTTACCATGCTATATTTTTCTTTCAGTTATAAATTCTTATTATGAAAACTGAGATTGTATTTTTCTATATGCAGAGCAAGGCAAAAATTTGGATGAGTTTTTCCTGTCAACAGCTGGTATGATTTTTGACCCATCTAATTGATTTCTGTCTGCCTATACAAAAATCTGAACCTTCAAAATACTAATTTGCTTGTACATATTTGGAAGCGTTATAGAACTAAAGGAAAGTTCAACTTACTGTAAATTATGCAAAAAAAAAAAAAAGGTGACTGGGTAACTTTTTAACCTAGTCATGAGAGCTAGTGACCCGTCTGTCTTTATGAAAACTTGAACCTTCAAATGACTTCGTTGCTGTTGACTTTCTTTTCTTTTCTATATATATATATATCTATATTTCTTTTCCATATTTTTCACATAGTATTTCACACAAAAGATGTTAATTGGAAATGGTTATTCCTTCCGGGGGTGATGATTATGGTTTGAGTGGATCACTATTTTTGCATCTGGCCAAATGATATTCTGCATTACGTAGTGAACAAGAATGACATGGAAAATTTTGATGTCCCGGACTTTCATAAATATTCGCTCACCTAGTCTCTGTTGCTGTAGACTAAAGGTGATACCTGTTGAGGCCCAGCTATATAAGACTGGATGAATCAAATATGCATTTGGATATGCTTGGTTCTCTAATAAGACTTCATTTCATGCGTCAAATATCATATAGTTATGGTGTACTGGTTCAAATGCTAAAGATATTATGAAGTTCATGTGATACTAAAGTGCCTGAACATGATAATGTGACGTATATTGTCATATTCACCAATAGCTGTGAACATTTCTCCATCAGGATACATTTAATACACTTAAAAACTATTTTCCTATTTCAATCATGTATGAGACAACTTCAAAAATCTGTGTACCTAGTGCAATTTGTAATCCATTACCATTCATTACTAGGTGAATTATGTGATATTACTTTTGATTTGTATTTGTAGTGGTGAATATTGAAGAGTTTATCTTTAATAATAATTTACTTTAATAATTCTGAGTTGTTTAAACCTGACCCGACCCGACTGCTTGACTTGCCAATACCTTGCTTTTGGTCCCCCTAATAACTGAACCTGGTGGACCCCTGCATAGGTGCACATTTGACCATATACACATGCATGCGGACATAGTTTCACGTGGCCATATAGCCATGTAGGCACATATAAGCATATATAGGCAGTTATAAATGTGATATATGTGCTTGTATAAGCTTATATAGGAGATATAGTTGTATACATTCATCCATACCTATGCATAATGTACAAACATACATGTTTATATGTATGCTTGTTTGTATCTGTACACTTTAGACTGCTTAAACTATGACCAATATCACTTCAAAAAATTAATTGTTAGTTATTATAAAATTTATTGAAAAATAAAAATAGATGATGGAAAAATGTATTTTCCCCCATCAAAGAGATCCTTCAAGAAGAACAAATAGGCTATTGCTTTTTAGGAAATTAGACTAAGGCTCCTTATAATAGTTCCATGCGACATGCAGTCCTATTAGGCTTCGTTTGGTCAGACTTTCGAACTATGATTTGAGAAAATGAGTTGTATTTTGAGTTTGTGTATTTTGAAATTATGATTTGAGTGTAGAAAATTTGTTTGGTTATGATTTTTGAATAGAGTGTTGAATTGAGTGTGAAATTGAGTTTTGAAAGTTTGATTTGACATGTGAAGTAAAAAAATTTGTTTGGTTATGATTTTTGAATAGAGTGTTGAATTGAGTGTGAAATTGAGTTTTGAAAGTTTGATTTGACATGTGAAGTAAAAAAATTTGTTTGGTTATGAGTTTTGGAAAGAGTTTTCAAAACTTAATTCAAATTGTTATGACTCACAACAAAACATACTACTTTCACATTATTGAAAATTCTGATCAACACTCGTAATCAAACTCTTTTTAAAATTCAATTAAATTTTTTTATTATGAACAGAAAATAACATTAATCAATTTTTTAATTGAAAATACTACAAAGGAAATAATTTTTTTCCAAAATAAATATTCAAAAAATTTAAATCATAAATATTTAAGTAATTTAAATAATGTAAAAAATTTAATAAGTAAAAAATTAAAATAAATATTCAAAAAATTTAAATCGTAAAAATTTAAATATTCAAAAAATTTAAATAATTTAAAATTCTAATATTTTAAATTTAAAAACAACTCTACACTCAAATCGTAACCAAACACATAAAACAAACCTCAATTAAGAAATTATTTTTAAAACTCATAACCAAACATATAACTCGAAATTTCATACTACTTTCACAACTCTATACTCAAATCGTAACCAAATACATAACAACAAAAATTAAAATATTTAAAAATATTTTTATAAAATAGAGTTTGAATTTATTTTTATAAAATATTTAAAAATTTAAAAATTTAAAATCGTAATATTTAAAAATATTCAAAAAATTAAAAAATTAAAAAAATCGTAGCATATTTAAATTTTAAAATATTTAAAATCTTAACAAAATTAAAATAATTTTAAAATATTTAAATATTTAAAATGTTTAAATATTTAAAATATTTAAAAAATTAAAATATTGATTTGAATTGAGTTTTGAAAAGAGTTGTGAATTATGTGTTTGGTTATGAGTTTTGAAAAGTAATGATTATGCTTTGAATTGAGTTTTGAGAAATGGGTGTATAATTATGATTTGAAAAGTCAAAACAAACACTACACTCAAATCAATGGGTGGAACTATAATTTGAGATGCTTGCCAAACGGAGCCTTAGTTTTTTGACGCACAAGGTCCCTAAAAATAGTGTGTTTTTGGGATGTAGGGTCCACGTTTTTGTTGGCAATCATTTTTTGAGATAAATTGGCCCTTGCATAGTAAAGATGCCAAAAATTTATGCAACATTCCGTAGTTGTATTATCCATAACCATAAAATTCGAATTATTATTTTATTATTATTATTTTTAAAATATTTTAGTTATGGTTTGAATGCTTGCAATAGTTGTTTCCTTTTTGTCAGTTGTAACCTTAGTAGTTGAATTGGAAGCCTTTAAGTGGCATTTGTGTTAAGTTGTTTTAATCTTGGACATGAATGTAACAAATGGTTTCTTAAACGGCTCATTCCTTTTCTACTATCCCTAACAAAATCAACCCCATGGGGTTGGCCTGGTGGCAATTCCTTGGGTCTTGGGGGTGTACTCCTCCAAGGATCGAGGATCGAAAGCTCTTAGGTGCTAACAATTTCCTGCGGCCATCTTATTGGAGGAAAACTTTTGAATTAACTGTCGTGCATTTGGGGGAAACACTTTGCCAAGGACTTGTGCACTCCTGGGAATTAGTTAGGTTTTGATCAGGACACCCCATTGCCAATCAAAAAAAAAAAAAAAAACTATCACCTAACAAAATCTTTCTTGCAATGCTTACATCTAGCTGTGTCCATTCAATCATTTAAAATTTTCAAAGTCATTACATACTTTGATGTTAATTTTCGGCTCCTCTTTGTAGCTTCTTGAGATGCATCCTCACCCAACTGGGCCACATCATCCTTGCCACAATTAAGTTCACTACAATCCTTAAAAACGTTTTTCAGCTCATGAAATCAAATATGCAATGCCCAAGAAGTCAAACACAAAGTCCTTGCACGAGTTTACATTCAGTAAACATTTGGATTTGGGTTGCTATGATTGGATCTGTTAATTTCGGATTCTGATAGATGACTAATTGATTGGATTTTTTTGGATCCAACCTGTAGAATAAAGGATAAAGTGTGGAATAAGGTTTGGAGGATTATTTCTATCCTTTGGATGTCAGGAGGAAGATAATTTTGAGGTTGATATTATTTATTCTAGGGGGTGATATGATCTTCTTGCTTTCCAGCATCTGGTGTAATTATGAGACATGATGAATAATTTTCTCCTAAGTTTTCTCTCCATGTTTTGTGCTCTGCAGTCCTAAAAAATAATGGCAATAATTGAAGTCGATTAAACTTTTTCTTTCTCTTCGCCATTTGAGGACCTGGTAATTTATTTAGAGAATAACATTTCAGTGATGACTGAAGTGTTGCTTCATATTCTTATTTAGAAAACAAAGAAACCAAGGGACTGAAGTGACTTTAGGCCATATTAGGAGCAATTTCATGATAAAATGTTTTGGATATTTGATGTATTCTTGGTAGGGCATTGCCATTTATTTCCCACAATGTTTTGATCTATATATAATTGGATTGTCTGATATTTTCAAGCTATTAATTCTTGGAATGCAGTTATATTCGTTCACCACTTTTCCGGGAATAAACATTTAAGAATTGTAATCCATTTGCGAGTTTTTCTGTTTTTTGAGAAAAAAGAGAAATAAAATCAATAGTCGAAGTTGATCCAAACAGGAACATAACGTGCATTGGAAAGGTTAGGGTTTGGTCTCATGATGCATGAACATGGTATTTTCAGTGGCAATCAATGTATTGTGTATAATGTTGTTTCGTTAAACCAGTTTGTGTATGATCATTATAGCATTATACTTCATTAATAGTACACAACGTTCATTCACTAATTAAAATAGAGTTATTATTTGGCTTTGTTTCCAAATCAATCTAGTAACTCTATGCATTTACCTTTCATAGTAACCATGATGTTACTTTAATTACCTTGTGCAAAGCTTGCATTTCCTGCTGCTATATCAGTAAGCTTATTTGAAGTTACTCAAGTGAATGACGACTTTTTTTGCACAAATCTTACTTTTTTGTAGCGTGGTACAATGTGAGAAACATCACTTAACCTCTCTTACCATTATAAAATAGAAATTCTATATTCATCTCACAATGAAAAACAAGAGGCAAAGCATTACATACCTGACATGACATTTGTGTTTACTACTTTCTTCTTCCATTGTGTTTGTTACCACATTTGTGTAACCTTTTCCTTTTCTTATGTTCTCCTTCAGCAATTCTTACAAACCACTTTGGTTTTCCAATTAAGAACACAAGATATCCCTTTACCCCAATACCATTCCACATCTGTACCCCATCCGTACCACTTTCCAATTAAATGCACTTGCAAAAGTTGGATCATCCTCCTTGTGCAACATAGGCGTTGGATGTTGTTGTATCTGATTATCTTCACATTCCTTTGTTAGTGGAAATCCACATAATGCCAAGTTGCTATCATACGAGCTATTATAATTCCAAGAAATGTCAATCTTGTCAATTGGTTATGAATGTTACCAGAAAGTTGGTTTGAAGAGGTCCAACGATTCAAGCAAACATAGATTTCCCAATGATGAAGGGATATTGCCAACAAGGTTGTGAGATAAGCAATCGATGTGGATGAATCTTTCCAGTGACGTTTGGAATCTCTCCTCCAAATTTGTTGTGTGATAAGTCAATTGTCGTGAAAATTGTTAGAATTCTTGGTAATTCAATCTCAAGACCCTTTATCATGATTGTCACTGTATCTTGATAATAGTAATCGTCCATATATTGCCCCACATTTTCATTGATGATCCTCGTAGCTTTGAAATGCTGGAAATATTTTCACTACAACAAGTTGGGTCTTGAATGAAGAAATTTTTTTGTCTCCAAAGAGTCTATTTTGTCACTATAGATATTTGTGAGGAAATATTTTCGTCACCGGCTTCGTCATTGAATGTTTGTCACTAAAAACCACCGTGACAAAAAATAATTTCGTCACTAATGAAATTACTTCAGTGACGAAATTTTTTGTCACCAATAAAACAATATTTTGTCACAAAAAATTCTCATTTTCGTCACCAAATAGTTATTCAGTACCATATTTATAACTTTAGTTGACGAATAAATTTGTCACACATGTTGATCATTGATGAGGAAATAATTTCGTCACAATAAGATGTAAAGTAGGCGAAAATTTTCATCTCCAAAAGTCATACATGGGTGACGAAATATATTTCGTTACAAATATATATATGCGTGCAACTTTTGGTCACCAAACATGAAAATCAATGAAAACTTTCATATATAAGTTACAATAAATTTTGTCACAAAAAAAGTTTATTAGTGATGAATAATCACTTTGTCATAATAACAAATACAAGTGACGAAACAAATTCGTCACTAAACTTGTTTTATATTTTATATTTCAATTTAAATTATTATTTCACAAATATCACTGCTCATATCCCAATAGCCTTTTAATTGTACTAACAAATCCACTAGCTATTATACACCTCTACAAGAAAATTCACTATACAATTTATATTATAAATCAAAATATATTCATCAAACAATTTTAATAATAATCCATTAAGTATAACAAAAAAACCATCAAAACAAATCTCAAAATGAACTAACGTGGAGTCCATAAAAAATATCAACACTCAATCTTGATTTGCAACTACAACTTAGTATCAGTTCAGGAAAAAACAAAAGGGGGATGCACCAATAAATCCCAAATTAATAACTTATACACTGTTTAGTCCTAAAAGTTTTCTTATAGACTGAAAGGTCCCATTACAATGTTTCAAACATCAGATTAATGTTTCGAACATTAGATTTCGAACATCAGATTAATGTTTCGAACATTAGATTCCAAACATCAGATTAATGTTTCGAACATTAGATTGATGTGCAAATGGGACTAAATGGAGCATAAGAAAACTTTTAGGACTAAATGGTTCAACTTTTCAAAAACTAGGACTTATGGGTAAATTTTCCTAAAAAATTCAACACTTGATCTTGATTTGCAAGTATGCTTCCAAACGTCATCAAAAACCAATCTGCAAAGAAAATAAACAAAAAAAATATTAACATATTATCAATTATATTGTATAGACCTCTCTATCCATGTCAATACAAATTGTGCACACAATGAGTCTAGCTTAACAACCAGAAGTTCCTTTGTACATGGCAAACTCTTATTAATCACATTACTAACTTAGAGCAACTCCAACACTGCTTAGCAAAAATACACAAAAAAATAAACACATGATTTTGTCTCTACTTTGGTTAGTGTGTATTTTAACAAAGGTCATGCTAAGATGACTAGGTAAATGATTCAAAAACAATTTATTAATTTAAATACAGACCATTTATGCAAGTTTCTAATTGATTTTGGGAGAAACAATTAGGAAATTAGCTCATTTCTTCTTTTTCTTTTTTTATTTTATTTATTAATAATGCATCATCATACTAATGTTTGGAAGGGTAATAATATTTTTCAATTTTCATCATGATGCTCAACTTGATTCAATAGAATAAATGCTTGACAATTTAGCATATCTGAAGTGAATGAGTATAACATCCAAGTATTCGTTGTCATCATTATCAAATGTGTTAACTACTCTTTCATGTCTCATAAAAGTTTTGAAAGATGAATCTAAATGTTTAGTAAAATATATTAAGGACAGTTAAATATCCACCAAAACCCAATATTTCAACCCATAAAAGGAAACAAAAGAAGTGAAATTAAAGTTTCTTCAAGTAAATAACTCCAACTTTACAAATATTATGCACAAGCCTTGAACATTACAGAACGTAAAATGATGCCAGATATGGTAACTAACCATTGCCAATAATATCTCCTGAAAAAACCTACTCCCCTCCACCTTTGACATGGAAGCCATATCTCACACAAAGCTACGACAATGTATCCAATGGATATCCTCTGGATTGAATGAAAAGATGCAGAAGTTCATTATTCCTAATAAAAGAAAGCAGGGTTGCAATAGAGAAACACTTCCCTCAACTATTATTTGTACCACACATTCACACTGGTAAATAGGTTTATTATGCTTATGACCTGGGTGGTTATCACTGTTTTGACAATATTGCCAAAGTTCAATGAAATTCCTGGCAATTTAGAAATATAACAGTTATGTCAAAAATTGAACCGGTAAATTTAATAGCCTATGATTAAGTGATCTTATATTGACTTTGAAAGTGAATTTTGAATGTTTAACATGCTAAAAGATCCATTTTTGGTGAAACCCATGCATATTAACATGCATTGATTAACTCTAAATAATCCCTCTGTTTTCAAAGAGATTGAAGTGATCTCCATGAATCTATGTACAACTGGATAGTCATTTGTCGAATGCACATAAAAAAATAGAGGTGGAGTTAGAGATTTTACTTTTCTAACAAGAGTTATCCTTGGCACTAAAAAAAAATAGTGCATGTGTAAAAAGAATTTTCAAGACAAACAATAAAGAGAAAAAGCTGAAAGCATGAAAAAGACCTGCAAAATGCCCATCCAACATATTCCTTCAATGTCAACACCAAATGTCAAAGATGTTGTTCCATGTAGCTAACCACCTGAAACGAAAGAACACAAGATCTTAAATTCTACAACTATACCTGGAAATCATATGGTCAAATTTATGTAACAGAAATGATATGAGATGACAGCAACATAATATAGTTCAAACTGTAAGGCAACAGCAAGACCACGGACCAAGAAAATGTGTTAAACCAGCAAGGGAAATTGGCGGCACACTCTCATATCTTGTCCTTTATTTATTTTCAAAAGTGAAATTTGCAGCAATTATACTTCCATCATTCATGGTAAATGAATGTTCTAAATAAAACATAATGTCAATTGCAGTATTGACCACTAGAAATAAAAAACAGTTGCTGAGGGCCACAAAGGGTCCAGGACTGTTAACTACAAGAATTCCTCTTCTGTAGTTAAAGTGGAATTTGAGTGATTGACTTACTTAACATGCAGAATGAAAAAGTCTTCCACAATAAACTTGCAATCCATCACAGATTGTTGGAAGTCTATATATAGTTGCCTGAAGTGTTTTGCATGGCCCAATTAGATACATTTATGTATTATAGGACGTAAGTTGAAAGTTGTGCACAATATTACCTTGAAGAAAAACACCAAGGAAAAAAAGCTTCAACGTCCTAAGCCATGCTTTCTGTGTAGCATCTACTTTGTCTGAAACTCTCTGACATTGAAAAAAAGGGGAGTCTTTAGTGCTGAATGATTGACTTCCTCAATAATCATTATCTGAGTATAGAAATTATTGAGTGCAGATGTTAGGCTAGTATATAATTACACGGAATTTCATAGCGTGTAATGATAATTATCAAATTTATATAAGAATAAAAAGTTACAGATCTCTCACTACTAAAAATAACACTTTTTGCGACCGCTACAAACCGTCGCAAATAATAGAAATACAATCGCAAAAAACCTTTTGTGACTGCCCATGCGACGGCAAATGGGGGTCGCGAATGTGGGGGGCAAATACTTTTTGCGACCGCAAAATTGCAGTCGCAAAAAAGTTTAAAAAATGCCTACAATGTATTAGCGACCATCTTGTTACCGTCGCAAAAAAATTGAAAAACAAAAATGACAAATGTGGCTAGTGAATAAAGCCCCATTCAATAGCATTTTTGAAGTACTTTTCAGGTTCCATAAAGACAAAGGCATAAAAATCAGAGAACTCTGTTTAGCTATGGACTTTCCAAGAATCATGCAAATAAAAGGCAAAAATGTTGATTTCATCACCTACCACCACCACAAGCAGCAAGGCTGTGTCACCATTTTCAAGCATTAGAACCTCAAATTATAGAATTCTTATCAAAACCAACAACAAAACCCAGAAACCACATCAACCCAAATCAAAACAAGCCATTTTTTAAAACCTATATCTTCACCTTCGCAGATTTAGCTAAAAACATCATATACAAAGTTCAGGTACTTTGTTCATCATTCATCAAAACCCATACTTAATTTTAAATTAAAGAAGAAATGAAAGTCAACATATATAGTTTCAAATTTATAGATAACATTGAATTCATTAAAAAGAAAATCAAACCAAGCTAAAAAATCACTACCCCCAAAAAATCAAAGCAAGAAAATTTTGGTTTTTAAAAATCAAATTAAATTGAAACCCATTTGCTTAAATTGAGTAGGATTTGATATATAAAACTCAAAAAATAATAAAAACAATCAAAACCCATATGTAGAATATACAACAAATTTCAATTAGATTAAGCAAAGAAGACTTCACTGAAGCTATAAAAAAAAAGAAAAAAAAGAACAAAGAAACCAAGACTGACCACCCTTTGTCAGTTTTAAGCTTTTTCACTATGAAACCAGAATGAAAACAATCAAGACTGAGCCAAATCAACCCAATTGGATCAGGTTGTTCTGGATTGAGTCACATAGAGTAGCCTAATGAGCACAAGAAAAATGAGGAAGTTTAAGAAGAGCACAAGCACAACAATTCTAATCATGGAAGCAAGAAAATAAGACGTGTTTAAGAGAAGAAAAATGGCAAGGATAGTAAGAAGATGAGACAGATTGTGGTGATGAAGACAAGATAATGATAATCAATTGAATGATTGGTTTCACTCCTATATTAGTTTTCATTACTCACAAACTATCAATTGGTAACCACATAAAATTTGACCCAACAAAGTAATAAAATAAAATAGCTTTATCTGGTACAGCTTTAGACCTAATGGAAGAAACAACTAGTACCTCTCAATATTGGGCTTAGAATCATCCTCGTCGTCATCCTCGTCCTCGTCCTTGCCATCTAGGTCAAGCGATATGTGAAAAGTAGAATAGTACAATTCAACTCTGCATCAAGAAATGTAGCAAAGTCCTCGCTGCTTGACGAGTGTACTGGAGAATCATTCACAAGACTCATCTGAAATGCCATCCAAGCAATAAATTAACAAATCCATTTGACGGATTTTAGCAACAAAGCACTTTTTCAATTATGTATTTCTAAATTCATGGAGATTATTGTGATGTTAGAATACAATTCAAATTCATGGCAATTATTGTGAATTTAGTAACATCACCAAATTTCAAACAAATTAACAAATCCATTAAAAATTGCACAATAATATAAATCGGTACTTTAATAAAAAAACATATAATCATTTCATCTGTGAAAAGCCTTGTGGACACATCTAATTTTAACTATGGAGGTAAAGCAACTTTACAAAACCCACAACAGTGGAACCTCCCATGTCTGTATAGAGAGATAGGGGATTATAGTAATGACTAATTCTTCTACAACCAATGTGGGTATATTAAAATGCAATACAAAACACAATGAATAGTATATTTCAGTACAAATCCAATTACAGTGTCACTGTTAATGAAAACCATAAATATACTCGTATCTTTATATATACCAGTTTTCAGTTGTTCAACATATTTGAAAGTTCTCCAGTATGGGCTGAAAGCAGTGATTAGCTGCTACCAGCTAGGCCAACTAAATGGCCAATCTCATCTTCAAGGTGTGAAAAGTGAGTCAAGAACTTGTCATGAAGCTCAGAGCAGTCAAAATGATTTTGCTGCAAATGAGGAAGAGCATCACAAATAATTTTCAAACCGCTCTGCAGCAATTCCACCCCTTGGTTAATTCCATCAGGAAGTTTTCGTCTTTTATTGGCTTGGTTTTCAATGTCAATCTCTATGGTTTCATATTCCATAACGCCCAGATCAATTGTTTGACATTTCTGAATCATTTCTTTTAGCTTCAGACCGTCCTTTACAAGCAATTGATGTTGATCAGTGCTAGGTATCACTGTAAGAAGAGCCATTTCCTTCTCCATTAATGTCTTCAACTCAGACATAAATCTCTCTTCATTTGCCTCATTCCCTGACTCTAAATCAAATGAAAGAGCTGCATTTTATGGCACAAATCTCCAGAGCTGAATGCAAGAAGTATGGGCAGCGAAATATCCAAAGGCTGTGATTGCCAAATGAACAAATGCCCAGTGCTGCTCTCTGAATAAAATGTGGTACAACTCCCATACATCTGAGCTCTTTGTACTAAGCAATGTTTAAAATGGGAATAATATGAGGCCTTTGATGGTTTACAAGCTAAGATTTATGACTAACTCAGCAAGAATTTTGAGAAAATAACTAGAGGAAAAAGAAAAATGAAAAAAAAATGTGAACATGTTTGAGCATGGGAGATAAGATGGAAAATCAGTTGTGAACTGGTGTCATGCAAATAACCATTGAATTTTGCATGCCAATAGTTGTCATTCTTAGTATCTCAACAAATTATTGTTCATTACAGACTGAATAATTTAATGTCAGTTACTGGCATTCAATTTAAGACATATCCTTAAACATGATTATTTAGTCATCATTGATTCCACAGAGTCGATTTTTACTTTTACATGTAAAAGTTCATAGGTCATATGTAAAGGAATTCATTACTTACAAAGACTGCAGGGAAGCAGACAGAGAAAATTCCAAAAATTCCAACTAAACTGGTAGATACTAAGAAAAAAAACAACACACAAAAATGTTTCCTGCAAAATTCATGACATATTGACACGTTATTCATGAACAAAATTGGAACCTCAATTACATCCTCTCTGCTATGGAATTTCAAAATTAATTGAAATCCAAACAAACAGAGCTTCAACTTATCTCATCACCACCAAACAGAAACACAATCGAACTTTACTATTATAAACAAAAAGAACAAAAATGTAAATCTGTATGGAAATCTTACAAGTTGACTTGCTACTAGTACTGCACATAGAAATTTCAATCGTCTGGATGAATCTACTTACAATTTCTAGCTTTCACAAATTTTTGTTGCACCAATTTGCATAAAACCAAAGAATTACAGTAATTTACAGAAGCAATAGAACCCGTACTTTTTTAATACTAGATATATAAACACTTCTAGACTACTAGTTTTTGTTTGAAATACCTACATAAACTGAAACCATGAAGTTCATTAAATTTTTACTAATTTGAGCTCATTCTATCAAACGAGATTATTAGAAAATTAGACATACCATTCAATCCGAAGAAATCATAACCTTTAAATGCAAAATATAGTCCCAACAATCCGAAGAATTTGTCTATCTAATATTGCATCAAAATGATGTGGCGGTGTTATTTGTGTAATCAAAAGCATCTCAATGGATTATTTGTTCTAAAGTGATAGGCTCAAAACCCAACCAAGTCATTATGTATAAATTCTTTGTATGGCTTTTTGTTTATAAATCACTACCCAACGTTTTTTTTTTTGAATAATTTGGAGTAATGTTAGGGACCCAAATAATCCACCAAATATTTTACCAAACCTCTCATATGGGTGTGGGACCCACACACATGTGGGTTTGTGTGAATCCTGTACTCATGTGAGAGATTTGATAAATGATTTGGGATTTATAGCATTTTTCATAATTTGTCCACCTTGCACAAGCATGTATAATAGTTGGAGCAAGTATAGTAATTATTTTACATGAAAAGATGACTTTTCGGTAACCCATGGGACATGTAAAAAACAATGCATACCACATATTCTATTAAGCATTCAAAAGGAAAAGAAAACAAAACCAATAAAAGAATGACAAAGAAAAATATTTAAGAAAATGAATGATAGAGAACATCAACAATAGTTTTAATAGATACTTTACGAAATTAACATGGGGAATATGAGAAGTTCAGTGACAAGGAACGAGGAAGCCATGAAAGTTGAAGGAAAAAAAGATGGAAATTTTTTAATCCTTGGAGGGCATGGTGCAGTTCAAATTTTTGTGTTAAGACGTACTATAGGAACATGCATTTTGATCAATACAATGAATTAAGAGGACCATTGTTTTATTATCATAGACCAACTAAGCATGTGCATTTATCATCAAAATGGGGATTTCCTAATTAACACTACAATACAAAGAAAATATAAAATCCAAAGAGTTAGACTAATTTCAACATAAAGATCTGTGATCGATTGAGTAATATGGGAGCCAGTGAACAATACTCACTCAATGAAAGAAAAAGACACGGCATTGGTGTAATGAGGAGTATAACACTCGAACAATTTTCGGGATCAAAATCTCAAAATCAAGAGTGAAGATACTGGTACAAGACTAAGGAGAATTTAAAATTTTAATTATTGCACACTAATGCATTGAAATGGGAATCTCCATTTCAAATTTGTAATAGAGAGGATCTTGATCCAAAAATCTCAAAAACTAGAAATCCAAGCACAAATTATCATGAATTATTAATATTAAACAAAACAAAACAACAATAGAATTTGTAAAATTACAAGTAAACCAATCAAAAGGAGAAAGGAATGTTAGGCTCACATATTTCTTATGGCCATAGGTCTCATCGTCATCACCGCGCCTCTCATAACTAGGTTTCCGGTAATCTTCCTCCTCAGACCCGTATTCCGAACTGGGTAGATCCGATTCAGGCCTACGTCTGTACCCCTGAGTAGGTTCATCATATCCAGTCTTCTTACCATACCCAGAAGAACCATATTCCCAACTGCGTGTCTCATTAGTTTCGAAAATTAGGAAAAACATTAATTCTGAAAATTAAGGAAAATAGTGATAGAAAATAGAGAAATTGAGTGAGTGAGAAAGAGAGAGAGAGGAATCATACATGAATATACAAAATAGAGAAATCGAATAATAAGAGGCGCTGATGGAAGAGAACACACGACACTAAAGGAGACGGGCGAGCGGGCTCAGAGATACGACGTCAGTGGCGCCACTAAAGGAGGAGAACGGGCAACGTCGGCGGCGGCGCTGGAGAAGAACACGCTGAAGGAGGAGGACAAGGGGCAAACCCGTGTTTTGTTTTGAAACAGAGAGAGACAGAGATCAGAGAAAAACTAATAAACACAAAAATAAACAAGAGGGAAAAATTGTAGTCTATTTTTTTCCTCACCGCCCAATATAGCAAAATTTTCTTCCCAAAATTAGTGGCAGAATAATATTTTCACTAAAAGGTCTTAAAATATTAAAATTTATTAGTGATAAAAATATATTCCTCACCATGGTCTTAAAATATTTAAAATCAAGTTTATAAAAAAAATATATATTTAAAATTATTGGTGACGAAAATATATTCCTCATAAATTAGTTTATAATTGGTGACAAATTTTTTTCTTACCAAAAGTGTCAAAATTTTGGCGTCATCCAAAAAAATTAGCGGAAAAAAGTTTTGGTGACAAAACTTAATTTTTTTCTCACCTAAAAGGAAGTATTTATTGACGAAAATAAATTCCGTCACCTATTATTTTTATTTTTTATTATACGTGACAAAATTTATAATTCCTCATAGATTATTCTTATTTAGTGACGAAATGTGTTTTCTTCACTAATTTATTTACCAAATCAACAAAAAAGCTAGATTATAAGCTAAAAAAATTGTGAAGATTGAAAACTCATAAAATTTTTGAAACAACTCAATTAAGTTGATGCAATACAAGAAAAAAATAGAGAAAAAAGAACTCGGGTTTGATGCAGGGAGTGGAGTCCTATGTATACAAGAAAGGCCAATGGTAGTGTAGGCGTTGAACGTGGAGTAGCGAGGGTAAAGAGCGATGGCAGAGAGGTAACGTGCGTGTGTTTTGAGATAGAGAGAGAGAGAGAGAGAGAGAGAGAGAGATGATAAACAAAAAAAGGGTTAAAAAATTAATGCCCTATTTTTTTTTCATTGTCGCTCAATACATCAAAATTTTCCCACCAAAATTACTGACAACATTATTTCCTCACCAAAAGAACTCAAAAATATTAAAAATTATTGGTGACGAAAATATATTCCTCACAAATAATTTTATAATCAGTGACAAATTTTTTTCTCACCAAAAGTCCAAAAATTTTGGCGCCACCCAAAAAATTTAGCGGGAAACTTTTTGGTGATGAAACTTAATTTTTTCTCATCTAAAAGGAAGTATTTAATGACGAAAATAAATTTCGTCACCTATTATTTTTATTTTTTTATTATATGTGACAAAATTTATAAATTCCTCATGAATTATTCTTATTTAATGACGAAATTTATTTTCTTCACTAGTTTTCGTCACCATATGTTACTTTTGTTGTAGTGTTTGTTGGCAAAAAGCTACTAAACTCATGAGAGGTCCAAGATTCGAAGCTCAGGAAAGAGAAGTTTTGTTTCCCCACATGGAAGAGCCCATGGGACCATGAAATTTATTGGACTGAAAGACAAGGACTTGCAACTTCGGAGAAGTTTTCAACCAGTAGGAAAATGCATCATTCTTCTTGTTCCCAATGTCTAGAACCTGCGAGTGTCTACATGTTGCCAAGGATCGAGGCACTGGACCTTCCAACTGATTTCCATTTAAATCAATATTCCTCAACTTGTTTCCCCTTGCAAATGATGTCAGAATGTTGCCGTGAAAGTTACTCATTCTAAGATCTAACACAATGAGTACATTGCTAAAGTTTCCTAAACATTGTGGAATTACACTAAGCTATTGTGAGACAAATCAAGGATCTTAAGGGAACTCACATTGCAAATCGCTGAAGGGATCGCTGCAGTGAATTTATTGTTTGAGATTAAAAAATAAATCGCTACAAGTGGTGGGATGGGGTCACCTAGTTCATTGTTGCGCAAATTTAACAATTCCAATGAATTATTTTTTAGTTCATGGAGTTGACCAGTGAGTTGATTACCATCAAGAGTTGAGTACGATAATGACGAATATTAGACAACCCAGGTGAAATTGGACCTGTAATATTTGAAAAGTTTAAATAAACAAGTGATGAATGAATTTGTTTCATGATAAATCCAAATAAACATTCTGTTAGAATATATATATATATATATATTGGGAATGTTGCCTTCCTTTGAAACATTTAGAAGAATCATCGTTCAAAATTGTTCTAGGATAAGTCCTTATAAGTCATCTGCATAAGGTTCTCAAGAGACTCATGTATGTACCTAGAAGATGTGCAATGTCATGATTTTTCGCATGTCTTGTCAAGAAGAAAGGTTTAAGAAAGAATTGTGTACAATTTGAAAATACGTTGATGTTGAAATTACAGTTCTCATAATCGTTGTAAGATTTTGAGGGCACATGAACTATAAATGCTATTTGATTTTACCATTTTTCATACAACATTTATTTTATTTTTTATTTGGGTGTTATTATGGTGTGCACTCTTACTAAGGGGCATCTTGTATGCACCTATCATAATATATGCAACATAGCCACAATATTTCATAAATAATACCAAAATATGTCATAACTTTTCTTATCAAAATAGTTTGTTGCTATCACATTGTTCATAATATAATCACAATAGTTTACAACTTTCAGTTCACATAAATTCTCTCATTAGTGACTTTTATGAACATAATTAACGCTACAAAGTAGCGTAATAATTATTATCCCCTTTTAAGGGTGTATATCATAGAATTCTCGGCACATTTACATTGATTAGATATTAGGTACATTTACATTGATTAGATATTAGATGACATGTGAGATCCATTACATCAACAATTATGTGATAAGCAAAATATGTTTAAAAAAATGATAAATGTAGCATTGATATAATAAACTATGGTAGTATTGACATGTTTGGTTGAGTTTTTAAAATTTGTTTATCCTTAAAAAAAAAAACAAAAAAAATCCTAAAATCTACTTTTGTTAAAAAACTAAGTAAAAAAAAAAACTCTATCATTTTCTCTTTTTAGGGGGTAAAAATAAAATTTAATAACCTCAAAAATATTTTTTTGGATTTTTTTCTAACTGGTTTCTACTTAATAAAGAAAAAAGAAAAAAGAAAAAACATATTTGGATTTTCTTGAGTTGGCCATCTAATTTGAGAGAGTAGTTGCGCTTAGTGAGCCTATTTTGGGGCCGACCTTGATGATTAGAACTGTTCATATTTTAAGACTCATTGAGTAGAATTTGGCCTCAAAATAAATCCACCAAACTGCAAACTATTCTCTCAGGTTGGCCATGCAACTTGACAAAGCAATTGGGCATTTTGATCCTGTTTTCGGGTGGAACTTGATTATCCAAACCGTTCACTTTATAATGACTTGGAGAATCAACCAAACATGATAACATTCAAACTCCCAACGTTTTGACTCAAAATGTTCAACAATTTGAGGGAAGTAAAAAGAAATGTGTGTGGGTTGTGATAATCTCAACATGTTTCCAGCCATTTACATTTTGGATGATTTAAACTGTTTTGCAGACTAAGTGTCTCGTTTCAATAATTTAAATTATTAATTTTGTAAGGTTCCTAGTCTATACCATCAATGAAAAAAATTAAGTTAATGTGATAATCGTAAGTTTGTTTTTTAAAAAATGGATGATAAATATGTTTTATAAAAGAAATCATTTGTTTTTTTTTTTCAAAATGTTCAACAATTTGAGGGAAGTAAAAAGAAATGTGTGTGGGTTGTGATAATCTTAACATGTTTCCAGCCATTTACATTTTGGATGATTTAAACTGTTTCGTAGACTAAGTGTCTCGTTTCGATATTTTAAATTATTAATTTTGTAAGGCTCTTAGTCTATGCCATCAATGGAAAAAATTAAGTTGATGTGATAATCGTAAATTTGTTTTTTAAAAAATAGACGATAAATATGCTTTATAAAATACACCATTTTTTTTTTTTTTTTGAGACAAATACAATAGAATAAAAAAGTTACGATTTGATTGACTTAAATTTTTTTTTTATGAATAATATATATAAAATTTTTTACGAAATGAACTGTTTGGATCATCAAAGCAAAATTTATGATGGGCCTCACAAGCCTTTATAAAATTGAGAGAAATCGTACCCTATATTTTCATGTATGCCCAGTTAGTTAGTTGATTGACTTGCAATTCAAGCTCTTCAAGATGGGAAAGCCAAAAGCCCAATAGTAGTTCGAAGACTTCCCAAAGAAAGACATTTTAGAATTAAAGTAAATTTTAATGATTGTAGAAGAATACTAATAAAAAATTGTAGGAGGTTATCGAACCTCTGAGATGATTAGAGTTCAAGGAAAACATCTTTAGATTAGGAAGTTGTCTAATTCAGTTGGAATTCTTCCATGAATGTTGTTTTGTGCTAATTTAAACCATTGTATGCTTGAAGTGTTGCCAAAGGAATGTGGAATGGTGCCATGTTTGGTGCTAAGATTGCTTGCACAAAAGAGGTAGTACAGAGAAAGAAGCCTACGGATTGTCATTTAAGAGAGGAGGTGGACACAGTGGTTGAGGAGACAACTTGCATTGGAGGCTCTAGCAAAGGAGGAGCGTGTATAGAGGAGCCTTTGATGGATAAGACTGCACATAGCTCAAAAAGTAATCATGATAGCCAAAGGTGTGCTGAACAAGTTTATACACCTGGTTTTATTCAAAGCCTCAATGAGTCCAGTGCAGGAGTTGGACCTGGTATCAATTTGGAAGTGGACTTGGCCCAGTTACCAAGTCAAAATTTCTTTAGTGGCCGCCAAACAGGCCCAATGAGTCTAATGGCATCAGTCCAAGTAATACAAATGTTCTAGCCCTTTCTCATACAAAGAAGCATTATTGTGGGCCTCCACTCAGTAATGGTCCTATTAGAAGGAATCTCTTGTCCCACCTTCAATCAAGCCAAGATGTAACATCTACCTCCACCCCAGAACATCTTCGAATTGAGAGGAAAAAAGGAAAAATAAAGGCACAGATTGAGGGGTTCACTAGCTTTGCTAGAATTCATGCATACACTACCAATGCAACCAAGAAGCACTCCACTAAGCCTGTTGTTTTTAGACCTGCAGCTACTGCTATAGCACACTTTGATTTATTAGAGGAAGACTCTTCTTTGAGGAATCATTTAATCACAGAAGCTACAACCACTATACAATTGGGGAAAACTCTTGGTATCAATTATAATGGGAA